CTGTTGATGAGATGATAATAATATAATGTGAGAGGAACAAGTCGCATAACATAGGTACATAAAACCCTTCGAGTCTACTATTTTTACGTAGCATGAAGGGAACAAGGCGCGCATTAGCCACCACAGAGCTATGTGTGAGAGCAACACACACAACACCTCTCGAATACTAAGGGACATGGCTTGCATAGTATTCCACCAGCTCAAATAGTGAAGGGACATGGCTCGCATCACTAAGTACAAGGAACGTGGGCGTTGTGTACTTGGCTGGTCAGGGAAACTAAAGTACAAGACCTAATCTCCCTAATTATTACGTTAATAAAGCAAAATATAGCCTAGGACACAGATATATGCATGAAAATTCTTCGAACCTTATTCCTTTAATTACCTACCTTATTATATGTTTTTTGCAAGAGATTCAACGTAATGGACTTCCAGATTTTCATAATTTAAATTTACTTCTGTTGACGGATAAATTGTGCAAGGAGAATTCCGAAAAGAAGAAATGTCCATACAACAAAATATTGAATAATACTCAAGTCTGTGCGAATTTGAGCTTAGTGCCACAATGTAACGTAAAGCACTTATCTTTACGATACAAATATGACACTGAACCCTTACGCAGTTTCATACATTTTCTGCGTGAAAATTCGGTCGTCCAACCCCAAAATGACCTAAAGATTCGTCGTCAATTTGAACTTGCGATGGTTTACTTAAAATATATGAAGCGGATTATTTTATACGCACTATCGCCGTAACACTTAGAGAAAGACATGACATTCCACAATATGAATGACACGTAACACATACTAATGTCCAATAATGAAATGGAACTTATACGGTCTGGCACGTGTCGCTTGTAATTGTAACCCCTATTTTGTACACTGAGTGTTTGCCATTAAGTGAGAAATTTGAGTTTACTATGCCCCCATTTCGAAATTGTAAAAATCAAAAAAGGAAGAAGACTAGGTACGGTAAAAGGAAGTATTTGTACGAATGATAGGCGAGGTGCCTACGTTTTCACACTTCCCACTTCCTTTTCGGTATTAAACGGGCATATTTGATTTATTTAAAGCATACCTACCGTGGCAAAGTAGCTCGCTGTAAGCAATGTGCGATTTGTATGCAAAGAATCGGTAGCTTGAATAATAAATATCTAGCCATAAATGAATATGGGAATGAGTATCACGTACATAACTTCCGTTCAACAGAATGAGAATGTGTGAGGCATCGATTCCCTACCGAAACAATGTGGAGATACGCCTGTCTCGAAGATACTTTATACGAGAATTGACTGTTAATTATGACATTTTAAAGACTATTAAAGTTACGATTGGTATGAAAGAAAGGGCCGGATTTATAGAAATTCGTTGCGATTTTGAATAGCCGATTTTGGATTCGTAACTACTTTACGATAACGCCTTTTTAATTTTGTGGCCATCAATATCTTCCTCCATATTTAATAATTAAAATAACTGATTTGTATCTACTTTTCCTCAATGACCTGTCAAAAATAGCATTTCACTTAAATAATCAATTGCAAGCTTTTTTAAATCAATATAGACAACTAGGGACAAACACAGACCGACGGACAGAAAGTTCAAATAACCAAAATTTAATCATATAGTCACTTAGCCATTGGCTACCTGTTACTGAAAACAGAATTGGACAACTTGAAACCGTTCGCGAGTTATCATGTGCACAGGATGGATAGATAGTTCAAAATCATGAACGAGCTTTGTCGCTCCTTAATAAACTCGTGGCTATCTTAAACTTGTTAGATCGTACATCCTTTATCGTTTTGTATAGTCATTTTTTCTTCCGTGGGCACTAAACATTGATTATTTATTGATTATAATGAGCGATTTTGCTGATTTTCTGCCCGTCCGTCTATGTACATGATAACTCACGAACGGTGTCGAATTTTCCAATTCTGTTTTCAGTATTTATCATCACCCAAGGAAGAACTGAGTAGCTTTTCAGTGACCTAGAAGCTCGTTTGCTATATTTGTTACAAGTGTATTCCTACTCAAATCACACGCCATAAGTAAATTCTTCAGGAATGTGCCCACCAAACTTCATGAAATACTGAACATTTTTATGGCTCGACCAAAAGTTGCAGTTAGTACTTTTTTTGGAGTTTGCTGAAACTAACTTTGGATTTCGTTGAGATCAGAATTTTTTCGCCCGTTTAGGGATGTACGATTTTAAAGTTAGAACTTTGGACATAATTTCACAGAAAACAGCTAAAACTGTAAGGTCCATCCTTCCAGCTGTTATCTTCGGCTTATTTAAAAATTTTAGATTTGTTCCCCTCTGCCATTCATTTTTTGACATATTTTATTGTTACATCTTGTAGGTATATTCACCCCATTTTTACGTTTTTCAAGCTCCAAAGATATTTGCATTCCCACAAATTAACAACCTTATCTAATATTCAGTTTTTTGGTTGAACTGAACCATTTTCACTAGGACAAAAAATGAAAGGCGTGTACACTTTTTGACCAAACCCCTCAACTTTCCTGCAATACGCTTTCTAGAACATGGAACTGACCGAACAAATCAATCCATGCTCGCCGGCAAGACTAAGTACCAAACAACTTATAATTCTCCGACTATTCCCGTAGATAAGAGCTTTAGAAGAACATAATGAAAACTTAAAATAACTTCAAATGAGCATAAAAGGCACAATTAATTTTAGAGAAACTTGAGAGGAATTTGATGGAAATCCGATATCGGATACCTGAAAAGAACCTTCATGAAGAAGAACTTGAAATGCACTTACGAGATTTGGGGTTCTTACTTGTTATCAACATCTTCCAATTTTTCACTTTAAATTCGTTATATCCACCGGGTTCCTGACATTGTCTCAATTTCTTTAGTTTTTCATATTATTTCAGTTTTTTTCAGATTCTTTAGTTTTGTAGACCCTTTCATTACACTGTATGTTTCAGATCCTTTAGAATATCAACTTGGATTTTTAGGATCCTTCACCGTCATCAGATTCTTCGGACTTTAACATTTCTTCATAATACGCATGTCGATTTGGTATAGCTTCTTCAAATTTTCGTATTATTCAAAATATTGCTTTTCACTAGATCTTCAAGTTTCTCGATCGCCTTTTTTAACTTCTGCCAATGCTTCAAATTTCTACGTATTTCCCTGGTTTATCAGATGTTTCAGATTCTTTAGGATATTCGGATTTCTTTCGTTTCCTCGTCATTTCCCAGGAAACTCTTTCGTTTCTTCTAGATTGATTCGATCTAGTTATGTCAGATTGTTCGCATTGCTTAAAATCCTTCACTTCATCGTATTTCTACAAATCTTTTGGATTAGGAGATCCATCAAATCCTGAAAGTTCTTAAAATTCATCGGATTATTCAGTCGTGCTTGGTATTCCCAAGAGCGAGCTAAACGATCAGATACTTATAACTCTTTCGATTCTTCGAATGTTTCTTATTATTTAAACTCCTATTCAGATCGGATCGAATTCTTAAAATTCTTCCGATGTATAGAATTTATCTAACTCATTCTTTTTTTCAAATATATCACACTCTTCGTATTTTTCAATTCCAATGCTCGCTTTTTAAGTTTACCACAGAAAACAAAACCTGATTAATAATGGCTTATCGTCTTTGAAATTCGAAAGTATTAATTTGCATCTTCTTCTCTGGCAAGAGAGCTTTTGGCGGCTGTACAATCTATTTAAATATTCCTACAGTAACGATTATAACTAGCGTGCGTTATCGGCAAACCATTAAACAAAATGAAAACACACAAATCTCACTTCTTGTCTCCTAGAGCAAATAATTAAATTCGGAGACTACTTAGTAATGAGTAAACGCTTCTAAATACCGAGTATTCAGCAAAGTTGGTCGACTTCACAAATATACGGTGTGGTCATAATCATAACATCGGGTATGATACTTCAGGGCGGAAAACGGGTGCTTCGTTATAAGGCAAATAAAATAATTCACGAATTAAGACGTAAGGAGTAATAGAGTGATTTTCTGATTATAGGTCAAGTAATAAAAACAAATAGGGTGCTGGATTCTGGATTAAGATAGGAGGGTGGACAGGGTCCTCGCGTACTTAGCCCTCGTATTCGGGCCATTTGTACTACCCGCCATGATCAGAGTCGTCCAATTCGTTAATATCACTCAAGTCATTCCACTCGTGAGATGAACCGAAGGGGGGAGTGACTCCAATCGTAGCTATGTCCGGCAAGGATAACCCCAAGATGGATCGCCTTAGTTGGACTAGCACGGGACATTAAAAAAATATGTAGTGTGCCGTTTCGTCATCTATGTAGCTATAAAGTTAATGTATTGTTATTTTGTGAAAATGGTACGGTACGGTTGCTGCTTTAATCCTACAGAAAAGGACTGTAGGCGGACATTTTATTGGTGACAAACAGAGCTAAAATTTGCTTCACTTTACGATCGTTTTTAACCCCCCCTCTATCTTTCCTTCCTTACTCGTCGGTTCTCTCAATACCTTTCGTTTCCAGTATGCCTTTTAACGCATAGGAGCTCAAGGGTATTGCTGCTTGCTACTTGCTCTAGTGGATGGTGACATTCGGAAACTATCCCAGAGGAAATTTTACAGTGACCAAGTGCCTGCTGTCACTGGAGATTCTGATAGTTTTGTTTTTCATGTTATGCACAAGAACTTTTCTTGCACGAGCATTAGTCTTACCAATTCTGAATACCGTAGCAAGTTTGCCTAGTGATTGGGTGATATGGAAGTTCAGTTCTTTGGAGTAGATACCAGTGCCTGTTCCTTGCATTGTTTTAGATCAATTTATCAGGCTAGGATCCCACTTCTGCATAAAAACCATGCGACAGTTTTTCCCTAATATGAATTGAGGGCCTGTTATTCATTCGTATTCAACTAGGATTCGTATAGAACCAAAAGTTAAAACTATGCAGTGATATAGTGGGATCTATGACAGGTGAAAATCTCTATTTGTGGACTTCTCGCTAAACGAAAAATGCTAATGATGTATTTGAATTTACAAAATTTATTAATATATAACGCTATATGAATAAAGTAAGAATGAGGAGAGATAAATGACAGGATACAGTATCTTAATCCAGCGATGTACCAAAATTATGCTTCTCTGGTGATTACGATTTCCTTTGTCGACGACATGAATCATCGACAACAAGTAGCTAACTAGACAATTTCCGAATAATGAGAAGATTAAAAATATTAAGCAAGTTACAAAAAATAGATCTAGCGCGTTAATTAAAGTGTTACTGCAAGAATGGACGTGCAGGTAAATCAAAAAGGCTATATTTGACAAACACATCGTAAGACGAAAGTTGATCCGTTCGCGATTGATCCAAAATGATGCGTAACTGAGCGTAACTAGCAAATTTCCGGATATAATTATCGACATCACGTAATTTGTAAAATACCGCTTTACAAAAAATTGGACGGCCAAAATTCGGAAGTTCCCCGACGGACGTACGTCTATTTCACTATATGTGGTTACGTTGGTTAGCTCAAATGTGTCTAAATCCGTACGTGATAGTATTTTTATGGGATTTCGATCCCAATTTAGCTCTATTTCGTCAACCGGAAAAACATCTGCAAAGTGTTCTTGTCCATTATTTATAAATTGCATAATTTCACTTACAACTTCCAAATTTCAACTCGCAAATTTGAATATCAAACGGATATCGGCGAAAATCCCGAGTGCACGAGGAGCGGACCGTCACCTTTTCACTCAAAAGCACGTTTCCCTTACTACCGAAACCACGCCAAAATTGGGTGTCATCAACATTATTGCAAATTTTCAAGCAACCCTTTACAAGGGTAATTTTCGGTCGCCAAATTTGCCCATTCACCGCCTTTTGCTGCGTACACAAGTTGTTGTCGAGTCTTGGATCCAACCAGCGTTGGTGGAGCAATAGTGTAACCTCATATTCCTATTAAAAGTAATTAAGTGTGTAATTAGAAAAGGTAATTAGTAAATTACGTGCCATATTCGTAGCGCTGACAAATTGGATTTCTTCTAAAGTTAGCGATACATTTACGGTAACGGCCGTTTGTACGTCACTTTCTTCGTCTAATTCGGATTTTAATATTCCAACACATCCTGAAGAAAGGCACAAATTAAAAAATAGGAAATACGGGAATATGTGCAGTAACATATTGGAGAACTGATCTCTTCCCCTTTAAATTACTTCTCACGCGCGCTACTTCGTATTAAATGTTCTAGTAAAACATCTGTAAGAATAGTGAGTGTGAGTAATGTAGATCACATATGATCGGATGAAAAAAATGTTTACATTTGATATAAAGGCAAGCAAGTTGCACTTAGACATCGACATGCGAGACATTTAAAATTGGATTGGCCTTTAATTCTATATTTTCATTTATTTCCAGTTTAGTTTTATTTTGCTCATTTGACGACTTTGCAATTTTAAGATCTCGGCCCTGACACGAACGAACGGACGAATGAACAAGAAAAACGCATTTTCATTTTTGAAAATTATGCCAAAAAGTACATCCCCAAATTCGAAATGATGGCAATGATGAAATATTGTTAGGGCGTTTTCTCCTAAACCCGAATGCATTGGTCTGAAAGTAGCAATATTTTGTCTTCACTACACCATTCTGTATCTTCCCAAAAGACAAAAGTTATATTATTAACTTAATCATTGATATCAAATTATAGAACGGTTAAACACCTCAACTTATAGTATATAGTTTAAAGTAGCCTAATATTCTAATATTTTTAATCACTGATCGTAGTCATTGAAGGTAAAATACGACGATACTTGAAATAATTAGAATGCAATATTATAGGTACATTACGATTTATTGAACAGTTTCCCCCTAACAGCCACCTCATCACATAATTAGAAGTAATAAACCTACCTACTCTCTTCTTCAAAAAGAATTTAAACGGCAGTGAAAAATAGTAGTTTACGTATCAAATAAATTTAAGTAAATTAATATTTTATTACGTGCGTTCACCAGGCCGAATCGCTTCAACTGTACGCTTACCGATCAGAAGTAGTGCTTATAATGCGCACCGGTTTTTAGCGCCCCTGGTAATATATTGAGTAATATAATAGTTGCCCGCCTGGGAAATTTTTTCCAGTAAACACACGGCCTAGAAAAAGATCAACCACTTTTTAGGAATCTCGTCACATGCAAAATTCAAGTTCTTCAAGGAAAATTCTTTGGTTTCTTAGCACAAGATGGAATCAAGTCAAGTTGTAGAAGGTGTCCTTTACGCCCCTAATCAGTTTATGGAAACTTGTCAAAAACTCATCAGTCTCTATTCTTTCATCTCTTCCTTGACGATTCCCAAGTTTCGTTCTCATGCATTATAAATTTTCCCAAATACAAAAAATGTTTCCACTTGATCATCTTTCTAGTTCCGCCTAGTTTCAGAGATTCCCATGCTTAACATCAGAAAAAACTCACCCTTATAGTTACCGCATTCGCTAATCAGAATAAAGATATGAGTGCTCGCTTCTGAGAGGAAATCTTCTATTTCGTACCACTCTTATTCCGTTATTCGAGGTGTTCTTGGAAAGAGATTACCACGACAACGAGACGGTAAAATTTGTCGGGATCTTGTGTTTATATACGCTCGATTAAAGTATAAGGTGAGATCGTCGGTTTATTTCCCCCACAAGGAACCAGATCTTTACATCCTTTCCTCAAACCGGAACTGAGAGAACTACTACCCTCACTGCGTAACTTAAGCTGATCTTTTGGGTCAGCCGTTAATTTTGTTAATCTACACCTGATCCCGATTGATTTTACCAACAACCCCAAAAAGCAGATGACGGCTCAGTTTACATTAAAGTGTATGCTGTTTCTGGCCGTTTTTCGATTTATGCTCTCCAGCAGGATCTCGTCATACGAGTATTATATACAAATATCAACCTACCTGTTCGAACTGGATCTCCACTCCATACAGTACTGTGGGCATTTTTCTTTTCTTAGCACATAGTGCATAATTTTCACCTTGTCTGTTTCTTTCTCGAACTACGTTTTCCTGGAGAGTACTATTGGTCTAAATTTTGGAAACGGGTTTCCTATAGCACAGATTTAGTGTAGGGTAATCTGTGCCTATAGTAATAGCACATATTAACTACAATAATCTGTGGTAATAGGTATGGGAATGTGCTATCGAAGGAAAAGCTACGAACGGACTTGTTAATATACGAAAATATAGTGAAAGTTGGATTGATTATAAACACTGTTTGTTATTTTATCTTGAGCCGCATCCAATAGATGCAACCTTCGAAAGCTTCATTTATAACATACTTTTATTGATATGGGCGTTGTATGTATTTCGATCTGGGAAGCCCTCCCATGTCTGGATGGAAAGTGAAAATAAATGCTCCAGACACCAAGGCCATTTTCATGCCCATGTCGCCAACTCCGCTAACTGTGGAATGCACATTGAGCGGTCGCTTTTATTACCTGTTACTATATCGTCGCTACCAAGATTCAAATTTAATATGACTTCATAAAAATTGCTTGGGGGACCCAGCATGTGACCTGAGTCATCTTTCAGGGAGTTGTGTTCCAACTGTTACAATTGACAGATATACCTTGCAAAATCAGCTGCCGCCTAGCTGCTACGGTCTTGTAAGCGTGCACTACTATATTATCTTTTTATTTCTATTCAAAGAATACATTGTGTTGTCTAAAATTCAATATTAAATGGATATCTCAACACAATTTGTCCAGAACCTTAGTATGAAGAACAAATATAAATAATAATGATAAAAAATAGACTATCAATAACATACTTCTTAGAAGTAAAGTAATGATACAATTTCGACATAATTACAATTACAAACAAGCGTGTCCTACAATAAAAGTTCTGGACAAAATGGAAGTATAACTATATATAATATACAGTACATCTGCAAAGGCTTATATAAATTACAACTGTCTTACGCAGTTCTATCTTTTAGGTCTAGCTTTAGAATTACAAAATTGGTTTTGCAATTAACATTGTAACCTATAATATATTGACAAGTGTATTTCAATATCTCTTTGGGACAAATAACTATTTTAATTTATTTAAACATACATGGAATGTTTAAATATAATCCATTTCTTGGCTGAAGGAAGTCAACACACGTATTGCAGAAGGCTTCCAATATGGGCGAACTGTATAAAGTATATTCAAAGAACTAGTTTTTAATATACTGTTACAACTACAACACTTGTGGCAATAAAAAACGTCTTTCACATACAAAAAGTTCCGAGTCTGTGAAACACTTTATACAATCAGTCCACATAATAAACATTTTGTTAACTAATATTTCTTTGTAATTGTTAACCCTACAATAAATATAATTACGTTTAAATATAATTTAAAAAATGGCGACAGCCTTACAATACAAAATGCTGCACAGCGATAGCAGACAAATCTGCTATTCCAACTGGGCACTGTTGCAATAGGAAGAAGCAAGTTTATTCATTAATGTAATCTATGTAGACATATGACTTATATTACAGACAAAACCAAATTGGACAAATTTAAAAACGAATACAATTTCAATCGATACAAAACATGAACCACAAGAAAATTATGTGCCAAAAAGATACCAATTAAATATATAACTTGACTAGTTTTTTTTACCTTTAAAACTCTATCTACAACTTTATACAACTTTAGAAATTTTAAACCTACGTACATATTATTGGAATAGTCTTACAGTTATGAGAATTTTGGAGGTTTTAACATAACGACATCGAAATCCGTTATTTGTTGCATTTCACGTATAACGTTAGTATCAAAATAATATTACAATAATATATAAAATTGTATACGTAAAATCGCAACCGATAACAGACTTAAACTTCATAAAATTTTGTTTTTAATTTAATTACAATATGCACAATAATATAGTTTAACTTGAAATCTAAATTACACAGCGTTATCAAGTATTTCAGCTCTGCTTGTTGTTACATAATGTTAAAATTTACAATTGTGCTTTTCTACTATTAGAAACCAATTTACTGTTACGACGGTAGAAAAAAATTTAACAAGCTACATGCATAGTGCTACAATAAAAGGTAAATGAGCAAATTATACAAATTAAACTAAACCTTTACTTGTATCCTTACACTTCTATGCTAAAGTGTAATGGACAGTAAAGGGTTTACGTCTTTAAGGCGCGAGCACCAAAAAATTGACTTGTGTTTGGGATTTGTTACGACCATAGTAAGTAACAATAAAAAAGATGCAACAAATCCGAAATAAAAGTCTAGAAATTAAAAATAACACGTTTCCTAAGTTGAGGAAGTTTGTACTGTTTATACTGCGCGCTAAAGATTAGCCTTGTCGACTAAACTTGGACATGGAGTATTAATTATTTCAGTCTTATATACATTACTAGATGCAGTAATTTTAAAAAAGCCTTTAGATATGGAAAATTATTGTAGAGTTGCTCAAAAATTATTAACACCAGCTTCGTAGTAGTTTTACTGAAATAATTGCGACCATTATCCAAAAGAACTACAGTTTGAAACTGGAATTTAATACCTTTCATCATTAAAGGTTACAGATCCTATCTAGTTCATCTTCTTATAAGTAGATACTTAAACTAATATAGTACGTAACTCGCATTTGGTGTGTTTCACAAACTATTCTAAACCTTACAGACTCAATTAAAAGTATAAAAAAATAAATCCAATAAATTAATAAGGTTCCTCACACACCCAACAAATTGAAACTATGAATTGTACCCGATTTAATCTATAACCTTTCAAGATGATACTCTGTGCTAAAATATAGATATCTCTGTCAACAGATCCAAGTGGAACAACTTTATAGCTACAGAATATACAATCTAATCACAATGTTGCTAAATCATAACAATCTATCTGTACGGACATACTTATCTAACACATCCATAAGAAGCACTTATTAATCATCGAAATACTTATTAAATCTATCATATCATGTCTACAATATATCATAGCCCTACGCGCTAACGCACCATCTATTTCAAATGAGTAACTATTTATCGGTACAATACAAACTACGCTAATTATTTTTAATATCATAATCTCACGTCATTGTGATCATTTCAGTTTAAAATTTTATTGTTCTGTAATAAAAGTAATGGCTAAAGATGCTCACTTAGTGCGGTTTATTTTAACTAAACCGAAACGACTAATAGTATTTATTTGGTAATCAAACATACGAGGCGATTTAAATATTAGGTAGAAATTTGACTGTATTGTCCTTTGGTTTTGGAGAGTTTTTTGAAAACACTTTTTTTGCGCAACAATGTTCTCAAATTCCACTGAAAAAATATAAGATGAACAAAAAATCGGTATTGAGATTGCAAAATGTCTGTTTTTTTGTGCACATGATTTTTTACATTTAGATGACAATTAATTGAATGAGCATGTTGGCTTCATATGTATTATAAGCGAATGGCATGTTTATTTTGTGATTGTGAAATATTTGAAATTATTAAAAATAAATTGTTTAGGTATGTGCAACTCAAATAAGGTGATATTTAAGGCACACTTTGTTATAATTTTGACAAATAAGGAGAAAATGTTTTGAACGAACTAAAATGATGAAAAATAACAATAATAAGATGTTAGTTGGGTGGTTTTGAGTCTTTGGAAATCTTTGAGTTTTCTATCTACTGACCTTCTTTATTTAAATCGCCCTTTTGATAAATGTAGGTATAGGTGTATTTGTAGGGGATTATAGTCAACTTCAAAACAAAAACTAACAATGTATTAAACAAAACAAAAATGTTGTACCTATCTGAGATCTTTCTGACTACATTTTCAAATAATTTTCACACTCGTTTGCCTTAAAACTATAAATTAAACTAAAGAAACACTGTACAAAACGTTCCAAGCAGAGCCAAGTAATTTTTACTTTTTTATTCTTTCAAGTTTTGTAATTTACAGTAGAACTGACATTACCTTTATTACAAGCGTTGCGCATGGCTCAAGTCATTTTGAGGACATGAAACTATGCCCTGTAAATGTACGAGGCAGTATTGGGAGGTGTCGGTGAAGGCGACGAGGAGGGCGGCGAAGGAGAACTGGAAGAGCCGCTGTTTGTAGGCAATGCACTATGGCCCGATCGGGGTGGGCGCGGTCTTCCTAAACTTCGGGCACCTACTCCGCCCTCCTCACTGCTTTCTCAGAGATACACCTTCTTTACACTTCTCGTCGTCGAAAATCCATCACCTCGTCTATAGTTATCTCCCTAGTTAATTCCACTTCACTAACAATTCAAATGAAGAAATCCTTTCTTACCTGATGTGAACGTAAAGTACCAAAGTTGTCTCTACCGCGATAATTATCTCTACCATTATAACCAGTATCAGGTTGAAATTGGAAGAGCGTTTCGGCGTTATTTTGATGCGGCCCCTTCCGCAACGTATTTTTGGGGGAGTGCAACTTTGGAGGAGGTTGCGGAACCAAAACCGGTTCTGCGTACGTTACCTCTTCTTGCGGTAAGAGTTTCGGTTCTGCTTGTATTCGACTAAAATTTGAATAACTAACAAATGACAAAGTCAGAAGTTGGTGTTCTTTACCTGTTCATATTTTGGCGTTGTTCAAAGTATTCGTATTCCGTATCAGGATATGGCAAATTGTCGTCGTCATCTTTGTGACATTTCCTTCCGCACAAATATCCCGCAATGAAACCAACGACTAACGCCGTGACGGAACCGGCAACTACCGCCATGATTAAAACTTCTGCCGAATATTGTGGCGAAGAATTGTCAGCAGCTGTAACTGATGGATCACCTGTTGACAGACAGAAATATCTTCATAGAACAGAAAACAAAAAAACAGTGAATCTACAACACAGTTGTTAACAACTACAATAAGCCAAGTCAACTATAAGAGTAAAATATGGGCGTAAGAGATTCGATTAAGCGTAATATGACCCTTTCAGACACGGTGTGAGTTATGTAGATTACTGAGTCGGTACTGGGTTGCTCTTTTGTCAACTATTTTTGGAAGCGTTGGGCGGGGGGCCGACATTGAACCCTTGTGAACTCAGAACGACAGGTCGCGATAAATATTGAATTGGTTTTGTAGATTACGCCTACAGGGGATACCATATAAAAAAAAACGTGGGGATGCTCACCTCTAGGGTGGCGTGAACACGAGTCAAGCCTACCGATTAAAATGGAAAGACATACTGTAGGTCCATTCGTAACAGTCCAACAGAGCAAATAATGAAATTTCAATTTTATCCTTGAGTTTAAAACGCTGTAGTTCCAAAACTGTTGGCCACAGCAAAAAATGTTATATAAGCAAAGCAGTATAGAATTTAATAATAAATTTTATAAGAGCTGTTTTTCTGCTACGAGCATCCTTTTGGAAGATATGAAGGAATTTATGATTTTGGGCGCCATTTTTTCAAGATGGCGTGTGACCATTTACAAAGTAACGCTTTTTTTGTCTATACTGACTGGACTGATTATCAAATAATATGAAAATGTGAAAATATCAGTGAAAACCGCATTTTGATATCTGTTTCCTAAGCAGATATATGGCGAAAATATGCACATTTGACAAATTTAAATTGCAATATTCATCCAAGTTGGCTTTGAAACAAAAGATATAGAATGTCATTCAAAAAAACTAAGGGGTAGAGACTTCATCTTTGTATCAAAAATCATGGCAGATAGTTTCAACATTTACGTTACTTATAACCATTGTCTCTTTTATTTATATTATATTTAATTTTATATTACTGTAATTTATATTTTATAATTTTTTTGTTGCTCACAACAAGACAGTACGTACCTCCAATGTTTTCAAACCCTCGATCTTGCATGATATTTATAACTTGTCCATCAGGCATATCTTTACTAGGTTGGTGATCTTGATTAAATTTCGGTTGTATGGAACTTAGCCCACCAGCTGAGCTGGCATCCTTGCCCAGCTTAGGAGGTGGACAGGCGGAATGTTGCCCTGTTGTGACGCTCTGATAAAAATAGCTTTCTTCACCCCATCGTCCGGAACCATGCGATCGACACTTGCCTTGCACTTTATCCCAAGCGCAATAAGGATCTTGAAGAGCCACACACTCACTGAAACCACGCAGATTTGGTGGGTACTGCCGGATAATGTTTTCAAACTTACCTGCAACTCGATATCTTATTGCTATCACATCTGTGTAACCTTAAGGATTGAACTTCTCCATCTGCTATGACAACTAGGCGGCCCTCTTGTTTTTGAGTATGCATGACGTGCAGCCCCCGAACGGCGACGTGTACTGGAAACACTTGAATTTCTTCTACAACTACGGGCCGCACTCCATGTCTGGTTTCGGCAGAAAGCGCGTTGACTGCCTTTATTACCTTTCCATTATCTAGGAAGAGTAGTAGATTAACAAAAACCTCAACAGTGACAACCAATTACCTGTTCCAATAAATAAGACGTCGTAAGTTCTGCCCCCTGGAACCTTTACTTGTGGATCGACCGCGATTTGTGTAAATCTATAGCTAAAACTGATTTGCAATCACTCGCTCGCCAAAACAGTAAAAAAGTTCTTACTGGAAACTTGTCCGAATTACAATCGGCTGTCCGAAGAAGGATGGGACACTTTCGTCCATAAGTGAGTGCGTTTTTATAAAATTCAGAGTGAGATCGGGAAGCGTACGACTGTCGTTGTGGCACTGACCGGGCCTGGGATCGGGCACCTTGGAGCTTTGCACGGGTAACCAATTTGAGTTTATCGCCGATTGTTCTTTGAAGTTACCCTCAAAGGTGTCCGCAATGTCTTGTAGAGAAAATGCGCAGACGGCACTTCCGGAAATGCTATTGGGAGGTGTTGTGAACGTACCGTAGACTAATTGAGCGGACACATCTCCATACTGGCCGTCGATTAGTTCTGTTGTTGATTCTACAAATTAAAACTACAATTAAACAAAAATCTGACTAGGAGAAAAGTTTGTTATAGTTCAGTACAGGCAGTATATTTTAGTTCAAATTAGGTAACCAAATATAAACTGCCGGTTTACGTGCTTAGGTACATCTGGAAGGAGGGCTTCATTATTTGCATCTAAATATATCTAAGGGAAATTCGATTACGTGACCTTAATTAGCGATTGTGTCTAACAGAATCCCATGATGTAAAGCATGCTAATTACTCGAACTTCCTTTGGTTTCTGTCATTCAATCGACGAATTTTAAGCAATCGTCTTTAACATTCTACTCGCTTAATTAATTGAATTATGAGAGGGTGGAAAATTCGTAAATAAATGGCGCGCAAAGGCATTGTTTAAGGGAGACTAAACGAAGCTCATTTTGGAATGAATTATTGTATAGTGGCGTCCCTTATTGATTTTGTGTAGTAAGGCAGGATTGTAGGTATTTTGTACGTTTACTGAATCAGACTTTTATTGCAATCTACACCAGTGTCTGTCTGTTTCTCCGTATTCGATATGCTTACTTTCTCAAAATTACCTATACAGATTTGGATGCACGAATACAACAGAGGATGAAGATAGAGAGCGCACGAGGAGGTAGTCGTTATATAGATCATAAGGGAGTGGTAACCAAAGTATAATTACCAAAAATAATCTAAAATTTAAAAAAAAGTCCGTATATATATATATATATATATATATATATATATTTTTTTAAATAAATTGTTGCTACTATTTCGGAAAGTGAGGGAGTTAATTGGTATATACTAATGAATTTTTCTTTTGATTTATAAATAAATAAATTAAAGAAATATAGCAAACGAGCCCCTGCTCCTGGTATAGCTTGGTATTGCGTGTTATATAGCTATAAAGTTATGCTCATTTTGAATTTCATTCAATTCGGTTCATAGGTAATTAACAGAGGGACGTCCTTATTTTTTGACCTACATTGCCCATTCACCAAATCCGATCTACAAACTTGATAATGGATCCACCTGTAAAACTGCATCGTAATCGATCCATTCGTTTTTGAGATATGATGCTAACGGAGAAACGGATTGGCGGAGAGACACCGCAAAATTATGAACACACTATGAGCTCGTTAATCAGCGATTACAAATATTATTTGATCGTATTTAGAAAAACCTCCCGTCCTGTATTGGGAGGCCCTTGGTAATGAATGATATTCTCTATTCATTGTTCAACCCTAAACTTATCTCAATTTTCCAGCATCCATAAACCCTTGAAGCATGTAGTTTCTGCGCGGCGCGTCTTTAATTATCCTAATTTGGCTCTATTCTCATTATACAACATTGAAAGACGTGGTATTTTTTGATAAATGGGACTCTGAAGGTCACCAAACATTCACAAAAGGTCAACAAAAAGACGGAATAGTTTTATGGGAAACTGTTTAATCATCACGAAAGATTCATGCCAGTCAAGTCTAGAACCTTATTGATTTTTAAGTGTTAACAGGTATGCGAAAACGATCACAATGCACATAATTCAAGATTTAATTAGAATTGCCAACAAAACCCTTATTGCAATTATATTAAATGTGTGCAAAGGTATTTCAGAAATGAACTTGTTTCGCAAATGTTCATTGCACGCTCTGTGTAATTGTATTCCTCTACCTCATATGTGAGAATATGCAATTAACACTAAATAGTTGGGTCAGTCCAAGCAGGGGGCGGCATAATATTATACCTACTATTAACTAAAACTCTGTGCCTGCATGGTTCTGCGAGATAACGAAATTATTAAAATACTTGTAGCTGCAAAGTATTCTTAATCCAAGCTAATCCGAATCATGTCGGGCAAAATTAAATTTCTCGTCATGTTTTTCGAAGTTCTGCGAAACTGTAATTGGTTTTCTTAGTTTATTATATTATTTACTTTTTGTTGTGGTCATCATTTATTTTCGTTTATAAACTCGAGCTATTTGGTAATAGATTGTTTGATCATGACTGAAATTTCATTCATTCCTGGCGTAGAGGAAAAAATCTAATCAATTTCAAACCGATTAGGGAAAGTCAAATGCAGGTTGCAATCAGTAAGTGAGATTGAAATGCTTCGCCCGGCTGATTTTTAAATGAATTAAGCTCTCTTGTAGTGGGACTAAGGAAGTAGCGTCATTTAAACGTTTGCACCGATCTGTATTTTATGATAAAATGGTACCCTAAATAATGCCGGGTAGCTTACTTCACTTAAAAGTTAAAATAGAATGGCTCGACTTTTATTTTTATACTTATTAAAGTAATCCCTAGTTTATGGCGAGTGTATATCTTTGCATACTAAAATGCTGATTTTCTACGCTGGTTGTTAGTCTGACTATAAAATATAAGCAAAGATATTTTTCCCCGCCTCGCAGTTTTGTTGTGACATCAAACAAAAGAAACGTCTTTGAACTTATAGCCGTTTTTTAAGTTTAATGACGCCAGTTTCTTCCGCGATCTTACTTCTCATTTTGGAGCTTGAAACTTCGTAGTGGGAACTATCGAAATGAAAAGAGACATGTTTGGTTATAAAAAAGGTCGAGTGGAACAATTTAAACTCGCACTTTTATCGTATTTAAGTGTTTATATCTCTGTCATTATTATCCCTAATGGATTTGAGCTACCTCCCGGCAACCCTGAATCCCTATATTAATTAAACAAGCTTTTACTTTCATCCCCTTAGTTGAGATGCATTTCCGTTTGAAGTTTGTGCTTTGTAACTTCATTTCCGGCAATTACATTGTGTAGTGTAGTTAGTACAGAAATTCGACGTTTAGTATAGGATACCTACTGTACTTGAAAGGCTTGAAAAGGTATCCCCTAATGAACAGAAAGGAATTTCTATGTTTAAAAAAACAACCCGACAATTACATATATCACCCACTTTACAACTTTTTTTGTGTTTTAGCACAGATGCATTTTGTTTTCCACGGAAAAATGGTTGCGAGTTGAAGCGATTTGGCACGAAACCATCCTGCTTATTTATTTATCAATTGCAATCAGTCGATTTGCCATTAGGGCACGAATCGCAATCCAAGGAAGATCTTTTTCATTCAGTTTCATAGCTAAAGCAGGTATAGAACAACGTAGATGCCGCATAGATGACGCAGAAGAAAATGTCCATTGATCTGAACTGCTTCCTCCTGGACCTCCACTACCATGAAGTTTTCTTGCAACTTTTTCGACATAGTCACATGACGTAATTTCGAGGCATTGTAAATTTGGAATTTTATCAATATCAGACGGTAATTTCAATCAGGTTTTATAACAGTAGAAGGATGCTTGTATTATAGCGCATCAAAACGGTGTAACCAGAATCATCAAGTTCATCAATAAATTTAAGAAGAACTCTTCGAGTATCGCTTACTAATTATACTAAAAATTCTTTTAATCAAATTGTGTATATGGATAATCAGCTGTCACAGTCATTGCTAACCCATATTTCAGTTAGAAGTATAAAGGCAAAGTATTATTTTATTGCTAAGAAGTTAGTATACAAAATGTGATATTGTTTTTGCGTTGTTGTAAGATTTGGGTCCCAAATTTGGCATAAAACTATAAATATTTTTCAGACGTTAGGCTTATTATGATAATAAGCGTTTCTGCCACATAAGCGGTGGGTCCAACGTGTTTTGTTTGGGAGCCACCCTCAAAAAAGTGGCGAAGTTTGCATTGCTTCTTCAATTTTTTCTCAGCAGCCATAAGAGTTACAAATATTGGTGGCACGTCTTTGAATGGGTTTTAGCGTATGCCCTTTCTGATTTTGCAAATTTTTTTTCAATACTTTTACCACGAAAAGGGGCACCTCTAAATGGGGGTGCGAAAATAAATTATGATTTCGACAAAATTTGGTATCTAGTTATTTAAAATCACTTTTCAAGCAAAAGTTGTACTTACTAATTGAAAATTGGTCCTTCGGGAGAGAAAGTATCCCTCGCCTACTAGTGAATCATCTAATTTTGCATGTAGTTAGTTGAACATGTCGCAAATAACAAAAAATTAACGATTTAAGTCGATATTGAGATACTTGGAATAATGCTTATTGATTGTTATAGAACTCTCAGCTCTACTTAATAACATTTTCCCACCACCCGCAGCGACCCATCGTTCATTTTTGTTATTTGCGATATTTTTAACTATATGCGAATTTAGATAACTCACTGGTAGGCGGGAGTACTTTCTGACCCGAACTGATTTTGAAAAACTGCTGGACAATTTTGTTCCTTAACTCCTCAAGTGTGTACCCATCAAATTTCGGGGAATTCTGTTGTCTAATTAATTTCTAACTTTATTCGTGATTTTCATGTTCAAAAACCCCCAGATACCACATTTCGTCGAAATTAGACTTCTTTCCCACCCCCATTTAGGGGTGCGTCCTTATCGTGATAAGAAAATTGCTCAATCGGAAAGGACATACGCCAAAACCTATTCAAAGACGTGCCCCTGGTCTTTGTAACTCCTATGGCTGTTGAAGAAGAAAAGCAAATTTCACCTCATTTTTGAGGGTGGCTCCCAAATGTCGAACCCTTGGTTTATTTGGAAAAAAGTGCTTATTTTGATCACCTCTACCACCCAATTTTTTTACATCCTTGTGTGTAACACCCTACATAATTTTTAGAACTGTACCCGAAGTATTGATATCATTTTTCCAATCCAAAGTCAGCCCTGAATCAAAAATTAGTCTCCCCCCACCCCATCTTCTCCTATTTTCTGAATATTCATTGACTGATTATAAGAGTTGTTTTTTACAGAAAGAACATTTATTTATTTATTTTTGCCATTCTTTTTGAGTGGGCGGGGTTTCAGCCAAGGCTGCTCTACCAACTCAACCCATATGCATTTACCCTTAGCATCGCGGTCTTCAACTTTAATTGAACTGCGCCACACGGGCCGGCATAATCGCGTAATTATACAGGCTGATTCAAATTCGAGGGTCACCATGTGAATCTCGGGAACTGTAAGAGATAGGTAGGTAGTTTAAATTTGGTGGCCCTCGTATGGCCTATGGTGACCGTATTCGGGTAGACGATTCTTCAAACTAGAACCTATAATTTACGTATAAGGACAATTGGGAAAGGTGTTCTATGAGAATCTATAGGAATGTTTTACAAAAGAAGTTTTTTTAAAACAACTGCAGCGTCTGCAGCAACCCTGTTTGACGGAAACATCCATAAGGATTGCTATCCCCATTGCCGATCTTTTCAAAAGGGACATGAAAGATAAATAAGGTGTGGGAAGAACACAAAATCAATAAAAATCAGAAGGTACCGATGGTCCGTAACACGAGAAATCTAGTTCAAAAAATGGTGATAGTGGAATTTTCTTGTAAATACACTGTGTCCAAGATAAGGATGTCTATCATGCGGATTTCGAAAACCATAGAAAACACGAAGATGCAACTCAATCAATCTTTCAATCAATCAATCAAATCAATTTTATTCTCCATTGTAAAAAAGTTTATAAAAAATGTATACTTAACTTACTCTAGGAGAAAATGGTGGGAAAAATTACTCCACCACTAGGGAAAAGTTGCGTAATTAGCGAGTTATTATCGTATTGCAAAGAAAACCGGACAATTCCGATTACCCACTTTCAAAGAGATGCCAGAAAACCGAAATTTGCCGATTTTGTTTTTATTTTGTTCTGATTTCAGCAGGTACAAAAAAAATAAAAACCACTTTCTCTTTACTTTCTAATGGTGCGGGGAAATTTTCGGGAAAATGGAAAATATGTCCGGTAGGCACCTTCGCACCATTAGGATGTTGTGCGCGGGTGCACCATCCTTTTGAAATGGACAGTTTCCAACTTTTTTTTGTGTGCAGTACATCGTTGTATTCGTAATAAAAAATGTTACTCAATATGTACTTTTTTACGGATCATATAAAAAAATAAAGATGATTTCTTTTCAATGAAACGTTGTATCGAAAATTTTTCAACGCTGTTTCATAGAGGTAGCAATGAGGAAGGGTTTTTTAAATATATTTTTTGTATCTGTTCAAATAAGACCAAAACGATATAAAAACAAAATCGGCAATTTTCAGTTTTACTGACATACCTTCTGAAGTAGTCGAAATGTTCTGGTTTTCTTTAAAGCATGATAATAAATGTTTAATTGCGCAACTTTTCCCTAATTTGACCATCATCGTATCTTCTCTGGTTTCCGAGGTCCTCATGATAGACATCCTTATCTTGGACAGTGTATATAAAAAAAATGTGTATATTTTATTTTTGATTTTTTTGTTTCTATGTCCTGAGGTTGCCTTACGAGAGTGGGTTCAACATTGACACGGTCTTAAGTCGCTCGTATAATAATGCTAAAAAGTTTTTCTTCGTCCCGAAATTTACTGTAATTCGTCTGCTCTATTCGAACACACATTAAAATTGCAGGTGAATCGCAATTTTTTTAATTTTTCTCCACGACTTATGCGACCTACTTAATATGCGGCTATTTATTTATTTATTTATTATCCCTCTCTTGTTCTGGGCCCTCAACAGGCTTGCGCCCAATTACAGAGTGACCCGCATAATGCTTTTTAGAGGTGCCCCTGCAGAAGCTCGTAAGTTGTTCTATACTACTCCGGTATTTACCTTACGAATTAGGAAAACTGCAGGAAAACCTAATTGAGTATGTTTACCCGAAGTTAATTCGTTACTACTTTTATAACTACGTTAATAATTCAATTTCAACGCACTTAAAATAGTACGCGAAAAAGTCCAGTTAGAAGAAATCTAGGAAGAAATTTTCAATGATAGAAAAATGCACCCACAGTGTAGGTGATCGCTCGCGAATTAGTCTTCGAATCCTCGCGTTGTCCCACTTATTTCGCTATTTGAATCTCGCCCACGAGAAAAACCGAAAAGGAACTTATTTCTGAACTCAAATGGCCTCGACAGGCGCGCCCTAATGACTAATAGAAAACCCTAGGCTTTAAACAGAACGGAACGGAACTTTTAGATCCCAAGAGATCGTGGCAACCGCGCTTGCTTTCCGAAATACGATGATAGTTATCGCCAGACATACTTTCGTTCAAGATCGCTATAAAGCGGAAACTTCCCTATGTTGACCAAAAGCGTCCCCCTGTTACCGCGTGCGCCATTTTGGAACAGAAATATTGATATAAAGTGGTTAGGCATATTTTCCTTTGTGTATGGTTCCTGGGAAAAACTAAAGAAGTGGCCTAATTTTTTTTGTTACTCTTCTCGAACGTTAGTATTGTGGGTCCGATAGTACTAAACGTATTCAAGCACTATACCCACTAATTTATTCACTCGTAAGCCCTATGATCACAGCGTTTCTCAATATGTTTTGCTTTACCCGTCGTGCCATTTATTTAGGAGTTGTGGTCATAAGTGGAGCTTATACAAGCGTCTATGCTTTTTCGCTTGTAACAAGGAGGATGTCCAAATGCGAAAAAGTAACAACGGTATTACTTTGAATCCTACAGCAGAGTGAAATGATTCTATGGATGTATAGGCAATGTAAATGCCTTGCTCTCATAATAAAATTTTTAATTTGCAATAAATAAGTTAAATAAATAATAATTTCATCACGTCTAAGTTCGCTGTATAGTGTATATCCAGATACCACCTGGATTGAGTTCTATTATATCAGGTTAAGTTGCTATAACAGCAAGGTCCCAGTAACCCTAAGCAAACAGAGCGTCATTCAAGCAACTGGTGATTAGTTAAGACAAGGGTATGGTGACTAACCAATTAAAGTAAGCATTTACCACGGGGACAGGACAGTGTAGCTGGGAGTCGTAGATATACGTATTGCGCAATATTACAAGTTTGGTTGAAACGGAAATGCTGAATAGTACTTACGTATTTCATTAAAGTAAAATGGAAACTCCCCCGTAACGGAACAGTTAAGCCTAGATTTAAGGAAGGAAGTCCAACGATTCCGGAACCGATGTGGCCCTCCACGGTCATACTTACAAACCCTGGCCACCCGGGAATACACCGCCTAGAAAAGAAGATCAAAATGTAACATTTCATGCGCGTATAAAAGTTAAAATTTCTTACAATATTGAAAGCAACTGATTTATTGTTATAAAAAAATCGACGGTGAATTGATTCATATCAACTCTGGGATATCAATCAAAGTCGCTCGTACAAAGGCAAAGGCAAAATGAAAAATACCCCAAAGGGAAACAGCAACGCAAATAATAAATATCTTTTTAAAGTTCAAATCGATCGGACATCCTTATAATGGATTATAAGTCGAAGAGATAGCGAGCGACGTTTTTTTTATAAAAGAAACGCTAAAACTGTTGACAAAAAGAATATAGAAGTAGCATTTAAGACCGTCGCAAATTGTTCGAAAATGTTGGGATGAAATATTCTTTTCATCATAAAAACAAGTAAATATTAATATTTACCTTCCCGCAGTTAATATATTCGACGGCGGTTTCTCTAAAGAAGAAGTAGACGAAATCTCCGTGCGTCATGGAACTGACAAAATCTGGAGCTGTAAGAAATTCGTTTTAGGGGTAAATCTATAGAAAGCGCCAAGGCGCCGATTATTCGAGGCAATTCAAAGGCAACTTTACCATTGAGACTCATCGAATCGTATTGTTCAGTCTGTAGCGGTTCTCTGTAGATAATAGGATCCATTCCGCTGAAATCGGCCACCGTGCCAGTATACAAATCTCCATCTGAAACAAAAGGAACAATATAATTATAACGCATTTTGATGAGCTAAGGAACGGAACGGCAGCCTCTATTGTTCTTTAACAATGTTATGGGGAAAAATATGCAAAGCGTGTGTGCATGTAGTAGTACATTGCTAACTGTAAACAAAACCTTTAGTTACCGTGTTCATTAGCAATCCTGCACAAACATAACTTTGTTAGTGTAAGATCCAATATAAACACCCTTGGAAACGCATTAACGAACGTAAATCGAACAAAGCAAAGAGCTCTCGTATTTCAAGATCTCACACATCCTTTGTACCATTTCGCTGCCGCTCAATGTTAGCTTTAGAGTAACAGTCAGTCACGCAACCCATTCCTCGATTTCCAACAAATTCACCAAAAATTTTACCCGTTTCGAATAAACAAGAGAAATAATTACGGTTCACATCATATATTCTCCATATCCAAATTCGAAGTCAAAACGGCGTAACACTTAAGATTAAGAGCAAAAAGGAATTTGATCGAGTTATGAGATAAAAATGACCCTTATCGCCCTACACCTATTGTAAACTATTCCAAATTTGGTAAAAAAAAAACAGACAAGCGGTTTAGCTAATGGAGAGCACACACTCTTAGCGAGAAATGTTGGACCCTAGATAAACCCGTTAGTAACATCCTTCTATGTGTTAAGAAAAAAACGAGCAATGTAAGAGCTTTGGGTGCGTAAATCTCAAATTAGGGCTATTGGAGGCGTAGCTCCCAAACGGAACATTTTCGCCACTTAGTTTATTTGGAAAAAATGTTTGTTTGGTTTCTTCTACTCCCAATTTTTTACATGCTTATTTGTTACTTCCTTTATAGGAAAAGTAAATAAGTGTAGAAATTGGCCGTCTTACACAAGTCTTATTTACTAAATGATGATCCATGACTTTATATCCTATTTATGTAATGTATAAGCACGCAAAGAGAAATGTTACGGCTTCGGTTACAGCCAAAACTGTCCATTTCTTGGCGTTGAACCCTGTAACTTTTTAGCGCTTTTTCCAAAACGAAACTGGACTCTGTATTGACAATTTTTCTTGGCAAATGCTTCCCTGCAAAATTTCCGCCGATAAACCGTCGCCAATCGCCAATGGATGGGAACGTTGGAAATATAATTTTGACTTGGAAAATATTTACCAGAAAAATGACAATATTTTGAAACCACTAGAGATATTTCATGATCTTCTGTTCAAAATTGGTTGTTTTCTAAAAAACGTGACATATCAGCACACGTCAGAATCACAACCTGTCGTTTGCAGGTAAGTGTTAATTAAATGCGCTTTCGTTTTATACAGTGGGGCGTGGGTTTATTAACACACAAATTCATTGTCACGTTGAAGGACTCTTAAGGGTACAACCTAAAATATTGTTGCATTTTTACAAATAGAATATTGCATATTTCCCTTTTTTTCAAATTCTCAGTCTGCGTTCGTTATGGTCACTTGGTTTAAGATCTAGAAATGTTTAGGAAATTTTGGAACTATATCAAAAATGTGCAAAAAATGTTGAAGAACTTAAAAGATACTTGAACGAACATATAAATTTAAGAAAATGTAAAAGTGTTGCATGAAAAAATTTAGAAAACGCTTCAGAAATGTTAATGGAAAACAGTAGGAAGGACATTTTTTACACGTTTCAAAATTTTCAAAACGTGTAGGCATTTTTTAAAAATGTAACCAGAACCACCTAGACATTTTACGTTTAACATAAACAAATGTTGGCAATGGATAAGAAATTTGGAAATGTCTCGAAAATATGTAGGAAATGTTACGAATGTGTCAATAATTTTGAGATAAATGATTCGGAAATGTATAAAAATATTTGAAATGAAGCATGTTAAAAATGAGTAGAAAATTTGGAAAAGTTTGGGAAAATGCAGACATGCTTTTATTAAATTTTGGAAAATTTGTGTAGGACATTTTGTAAGATATTAAAGAAAGGTGTAAAAGTTGGTGCACACCAAAAGGGCACGAGGACAATTTAGATAGGTACGAAGTTTAGTTTGAATCTTCCTGTATGTTATTATTGGGGAAAGAATTATAGCGAGCACAATTCAAACGTACATTCTAGTTTCGATCGGATTATAAGCGTTGAGTTATCATACTATATTGAAAATTCCGAGTCTTCGTTAATTGTAACCCAAAAAACGTAGGAATTATGTACAAATCAGCACCAATTAATGTGTTGGGACTTTTCGAATCAGGGGAACAACGTAAACTCGTGCTTTGAAATAGCATGAAGCACAGCACGAACGCTAATAATTTCGTCCAATTTTCTACTTGTTTTACTCTTTGTGCACTTTAAACGTATAAAAGTGTCTGAAAAATTTGCAAAATTAGCGAAAAGTCGTGTATATTCCCTAAATAATGTATAAATATTGTATTAACGAGATGCATGACGGAAGGGCGTTTTTACGGTATTCAGAGCTGCATCTAAGCATTACTAAAAGCTCGCCTAGATGAAAGAGACGTCTGCAATGGGGAAACAACCAAACATGCATAAAACGTCTTCATTATTTTTGCTCGTTACTTGCAGCAGCATGGTGTGGCGTTCGCAGAGAAACGTTACTGCCACAAACCGCTTTGAAGTTTTCTTCGTTGCAAGTGACAGAAATCCTATTGTTATGTATGCAACATTATAAATAAAGCAGTTTGCGTATATTTCGCAATTCGAGCTAAAAACATAGATTCGGCAGCCATGGAAGGTAAATAAATTATCCACTAGTTGTCTATCCATGTGTAAAGAGGTTAGACTTCTAGGCGATGTAGTAAATTTCTGAAATCTATACAAACTGTACGAAATATCAGCGCAGCACCAACAGTAAATCAAGTTAATTTAGTTAATTCAGTTTAAAATCCACGTTTCTAATTGATTTATTTCAATATTCTCCCCCGTTCATACTAAGCACGGTATAATTAATTAATGTCATTTAGAAATAATACATTTTAATTTGTTGTGCGCGAAACCATTCGATAAATTCTCAAACAGAAACTCACCGACATATATCGCTGTAGAATTATGATGAGGGTCGTACGGACATACGGCTTGGCCAGGTTTCTCCTTTGCAACCGTGTAATTTCCATTATGAATTACATAATCTCTACAAAGTGGCTTGAACGAATTCGTGCCGCATACTAGCAGTCCTCCCGCCGCAGTTTTTGCCATAATACGCATGTAGTTCTGGCAGTTTTCCTGAAAAAGAAAACATGACTTTTAGTACTCCGTCCAAATGGATTATCTTCCATAACACTTTATGCTTAATGCGCCATGTGCGTTAACTATCACTTAAAGTTAACGGACAATGAATTTTAATTACCAGTGGATTGTTTACTAGCGGCTCAAGACGAATGGGGTCAACGAGTGATTAAAATTCAGTTCGCTATTATGAATGGAGTAACCATTATTTCCATTGTTGAGGAAAGCGCAATTGAGGTGAACATGAAAACAATTTTAATATTAAACTGCAATAAAGTCTACATGCCTAAATGGAGACTTACAGTTTGTTTTACAAGGAGTCTCATACTAAATGTAATATAATAAACAGTACCAGAGTTAAGAATTTAATCAATGCACGAGCAATTTAAATCTTTTAGGGGAATTTTTCGAAAGAAAAAATCCTCTTATGTGATGGTTTTGTCCGTCTGTCGGTCTGTTCCTCGTCTAATTCGAGAACGAAAAGAGATAGCGATGTCAAACCTTTGTCGATCAATTTCGAGCTCAAGGATCAGTGCTATTGAATATCAGCCTGATTAAAAGTCTGGTTTTCGAATACGGGCTGCGTGGCAAAAAATTCCCTTACTGAAAATCGTATGCTGAATGGGATGTGAAGAAACTATACGAGAGCAATCGTACACGACGTGACTGTTTACTCTCAATTTGGGAAGAAATTGAACAAGAGTTTGATACGCAGCCTGCAATTCAACAAACCTCTTATGGACAAAATTGATGGATGGACACTATTGATGACAATACTAAAATAAATCGATTTTTTTAAACAAGAATTTGAAACACCACCTGCAATCCAATCAAGCCCGTATAGACAAAATAGTTCATAGGGGACCAAAATTATGCTCCTAAACTAACTTGAGCTATAGAAAGATTGCTTTTATCTCAAATTAAAGGAAAAGTACCTACTCATATTGGACAAAGAGCTGCTGATTTCTTAGGTTAGGGGTTTGTCTCAGAATTTCCAAAATCTAAATTTTTGTTTTTATATACCTTTTTATCTCACTAAATCGCTTAAAAAATTTGGTGTTGATAGCACATATACCACCCGCACACCTGCGCATGCGCGATACCGCTCTTTTATACCTGTGAATATATGCACCAAATGTGAATCCAATCGGTTCAGCCGTTTAGCCGGAAATGTGAGTTTGACACACTTGCGCATGCGCAATTCTGCCCAAAAGCTGTCTAAGAATGTGTGTACCAAATTTGGTTCTAATCGGTTCAGCCGTTTAGCGGGAAATGAGAATACAGAAGGACCGACAGACCGACATCATAGATATTTTGTTTGATTCGGATTCCTGGTTGTTCAAAACGTGTATTTCCGTCAAAAAAGTGAGGTGCCACTTTGATCAATCTCCGCAAGACTTCAATCAGCCTCATTCTTTAGAATGATTTCCTAATTTTTACCTAGAGCAGTATCCCCACAGACCAATTCCCGTACCTTTGGATTCCGGTAGTAAACCTACGTACGAGTAGGTATATACTGCACCCACATTTTATAAAAAAAATTGTGAGTTTTGGAATATGTTTGTCAATTTTACAATTTGGGTTTCAATTATAAGACTCTTTCGTTGAGATTTTTGGGAAAAACGAAAAAAAACTATTTGATTTCATAGAGAGGAACTAAATGTTATGCCTTTCTTGTTTGCTTAAGGTCGGGATTAAGTTGGTACAGTAAAATTTTTATTTATCTACAAATTTCGCTGAAAAAAAAACAATTTGATGACATGAAATATATTTCGTGCTCTTTCGTAAAGGTTCAGGTTACGTTGGCAGAACAAAATTTTTAATTACTCACAAATTTTGTCGGAAAAAAGACAACACTTGCATACAAAACTGTTTTTACATGTTTTATTAAGCTTTTCGTAAACCCGCAAATTTAAAAATAAGTTTCAACATTTTTGTTATTAGTAGCAATAGCCCATGACTTTTGTTGTTTTATGAATTGCCAATTGCCATTAATAAATGAAATGTTGAAATTTATTTTTAAATTTGCGGGTTTACGAAAAGCTTAATAAAACATGTAAAAACAGTGTTGTATGCATCTTTTAATTCTAAACAACTTTAAACTCAACAGTTTTTTCTGTAAAATGTACAGGAGGGCAGGATTTTGCATAAAACTAATTTCCCACGTTAAATCCCTATGTCCCACTTACCGTGCACCACCCTGTATAACAAGCAGACAGGTATTGCACTCACACTCATAGGTATAGAGGATATATTGCCAAAGTTCCATCGATAATAAATTTGTTCAAAAGGGTAGAAGAGTTGAAAAATATTTAATTTTTTAGTACTTACATTAAACGATCTTTATCTAGTAGCGCCGGACCACATAAAGCGATCTCGTGTTTTCAATCCTGTGTGAATTTACCCAAAAAAAGTAGACAAACACAGGCTATCGGTGCTAAATAATTCATAAGCGCATATTAATGAATTAACAGTGAAGTTATGTATTCAAATGTCCCTTAGCTGTCAGTCAGAATTATAAAAATCACTTAATATACGCCCCCTGGAAGTGCGCACATCAAAAATTACTTATGTATGTATACCTACTATAGGTTTAAAAAGATGCCCACACTTCGAATACAAGGCCTTGCGGTTCTCTGAACTTTGTGATATGAACGAACATGGCAAGAATTATTTCCGAAGGGTTGGCACATTTAACCCTCGTTTTTGTTGAAGTTGAACGAATTGTTAATACGAAAACATCGCAATCTTGCGAAGAAGCAATTAGAATCATCTGCCAAGAGCAGAAGAAAAAAACGCAAATACGAACAAAATCCATTTAGATTGGTTTGTGTAACGATCCACTGTACAATTCAATCCTAGTAAATACCTTAGAGCGGTAATAACTGACAATTCGGTCGATGCATGCACTAATTTATAGAGAATCGCCCTAATAGCTACACGGAGCTGATTATTTATCTCCGACAGGCCCAGAAAGCAATTAGTGCAGCGAAAGATAGGAAGAGATAAGACGAACTCTAAATGCAAAAACACAGCAATAAAGGAGACGCTAAATCAGCCTTACACAATGTAAGGATGGGCAAAAAGTTAATGGAGACGAGAGATTGCGGAGAGAGATCTTATAGACAATGCAGATTTTGTAAGTGGCAAAGACTGTAGCGTAAATTACTAACCGCATTACTGAATGCAAATTAGAAGTTTTTATAAAAAGACGAACACTTTGATCAATAACGAGTACTTTCTCATACGCAATCAATTCCTATAACAACAACCAAACAAAGGGATAAAATGCAATTTGGTAAAAAAAGTGCATCGAAAATACACAAACGGTCTCATTAAAATAAAGTGGTTAAAAGCAAAAGAAAGTAGTGCTTTAGGAGTTCTTTTTTAATTATTTTTGAGAAGCGAACGGTGATTTACACAACTCAGCTGCTCGCCCATCAATTAGTTTGCGGCTTTGTGGCTTCGTGTGGATTTAATCTCAATGTGAAACCATGCAGCTTAATTATGGTCAAGACGAGACCTTACATCAATTTATGAAGAGCCTGTCCAACTTTGGGAATCAACGAAACGTCGCCGTTTTAGTATTCGTATCGCTTAGCATACGCAGATATGAGTTCTCTTGCAGTTTGTGTCACGTGACCTAATTTTCGGTGGAAAGGTATACCGCACGAGCTACATATGTATTCACTATTTGTTTAGCTCGATCAAATTATTATTTGTACAGCTAGAGATGTTGTACACAACAGTAAGACTGTTTGCTTTCATCCCATAAGAGGGAAATATTGCTTTATTCCCTGTTTTTAATAAAGAAAATGTTCGCTTCGAGAATACTTTTAGAAATATTTGTTTACCATCGAAATTTATTACGATGAGAGGTGGCCTTCTTGTGAATGGTGTTCGAGCTTTCAGTGCTTTGGAAGTGATATATCAATCCTATTATTTTCCTGTTGGATTAGCAAAATCCGGTAACTATTCAAAGGTGTGAAAGTGAACGCTATTTCTCATCCCAAAGAGAGCACCAGGTGTGACAAGAGTAGTGTCATGCATCTAATAATTATCATGGACGCCTATAAGGAGTATAAGGGGTGGCAACTCCTAGTACGTTCATTTTGAAGAAAAAGACAATAAAAGATTTCAGAAACAATACATGATAATGTCGACATACCTCAAGGGCGCTTTCATCTGGGGTACCTCCCCTCAGCTTATTATCTGTTCAAAATTCCAGATCTTTGTATAACAGACAGTATTATTCCAGAAAGGGATTTTCGTACTTAATTTTGGTGAAAATTCCAACTTTGATTTATATGCTCAGCAATTAGTACCCGATCCATTCGAATGGGGTTGGGCACGACCGACGCCAAAAGAATTGTGGATGCCCAAATGGACCGCAAAAACCCCCAGTGCCATAAAAACTTTATATGATTTAATCAAGGATTTAATTACTTTCCTTTGCGGCTAATTATGCAAGTTTGGAGCTAACACATTGAAAAAAATCAAAATCAAAAGAAAAGAGCGTATGTGTCTTCTTCCAAATGTCCTTAGAGGATCTCATGGAAGTAAAATAACGGATACTGGCGAAGTTCTAAATGCTACTCATTGTTCTTACAAACGCTTTTATTTTCATTAACGTAATTTTATTTGTTCAATCTGTTTCCTTGATTTTTCTTTTTGGTTAAAATCCACGTCCCTTATTATATTTGCCTTTATTCGCCTCTTTTAATTTTTC